CCTGCCTGCCTGCCTGCCTGCCTGCTGTGTGTGCTGTGTGCTTGACCCGCCGGCCGGCTGGAGCCCACTTGGGCTCCGGGCCGAGGGAGCGGCGGGTCGACCAGCGGGCCGGGCCTTCCTTGCTTGGCCTCCATCGAGTGGGCTGAGGGACATGTGTCTGGAGGTCGAAATGGCCTCAGCGGGCCGAGTCGCCAGTACGATGCGCTCTGTGGCATTTCCGTTTTCTCTCTAAGATGCGTTGAGATTTTTCATGGCGGTTATTGGGAGGGGGGTGATGGGTGTCTGCCTTTGCTGTTCCTGTCACTGCCACAATACGGAGGGGTGCTTTCAACATGAAGGGGGGTGTGTGTGTGTGTGGGGGGTCTGTCTGTGTGTGTGTGTGTGTGTGTGTGTGTGTGTGTGTGTGTGTGTCGGTCGGTCTGTCTGTCTGTCTGTCTGTCTGTCTGTCAGCCTGCCTGCCTGCCTGCTGTGTGTGCTGTGTGCTTGACCCGCCGGCCGGCTGGAGCCCACTTGGGCTCCGGGCCGAGGGAGCGGCGGGTCGACCAGCGGGCCGGGCCTTCCTTGCTTGGCCTCCATCGAGTGGGCTGAGGGACATGTGTCTGGAGGTCGAACTGGCCTCAGCGGGCCGAGTCGCCAGTACGATGCGCTCTGTGGCATTTCCGTTTTCTCTCTAAGATGCGTTGAGATTTTTCATGGCGGTTACTGGGGGGAGGGGGGGTGATGGGTGTCTGCCTTTGCTGTTCGTGTCACTGCCACAGTACGGAGGGGTACTTTCAACATGAAGGGGGGGGTGGTGTGTGTGTGGGGGGGTGGTGTGTGTGTGGGGGTGTGTGTGTGTGGGGGGGTGTGTGTGGGGGTGTGTGTGGGGGGGTTGTGGGTGTGTGTGTGTGTGTGTGTGAGGTGTGTGGGTGTGTGTGGTGTGGTGTGTGCTGTGTGCTCGAGCCGCTGGCCGGCCGGCCGGCCGGCCGGCCGGCCAGCTGGAGCCCACTTGGGCTCCGGGCCGAGGGAGCGGCGGGTCGACCAGCTGGCTGGGCCTTTCTTGCTTGGCCTGCATTGAGTGGGCTGTGGGAAGGACTTGCGTGCCGAGGTCGAGTTCGCCTGGGCGGGCCGAGTCGCCAGTATGACCCGTCCTCTGGCGTTTACGTTTTCTTCTTAAGATGCGTTCAGTTTCTTCATGGCGGTTATGTATGTGGGTGGGTGGTGGCTCTCTGCCTTTGCTTTTCGTTT